GGCTTACTCTGCTGATCAAATCCCGGGCTGTGGCATTACCTTCCCTTTCAGCTGACCCAGCCCGAGCACCGTGACTGCCTATTCCCACGCCACGTCAAAGGGAAGGTTTACATTGTTCACTGGATATTAATTTAAATTATTCTGGGGTGCTTGGAAACCACCTCCTCCCCCCTCTCCCGTTCAGTCTCCATGGGGACTATCACAGGGGCTGGGAGATATAAATGAGCAGCCAGTGACACGCCGCTCTTCCTCCCCTTCTGTTGCACACTGCCATCAGCCATTCCCACTGCCACCCGGGACACATTCATATTTTGCCAAACGACTCGCTAGGACAAGGCAGATCCATTTTTGGAGTCTGGTACAATATCCTGCTAATACCATTTTCCGTTTGTTCCTCAGGTTCACACGCTCGTGTTGTGGCTCTTTTCTTCACACCAACATCCTGCTGCTTGTTGATGGTATTAATAACACCCGCGGCAGGAGGCTGCGCCCCTCGGGGTCCGGGCTGGCGGAGTAATTATTGAATGACATCGGGGTTGTTCTGTAAATTACTTTGTGACCCAGGAATTCAGCAGGTTACCGCTATAACTCAGGCTCTCACAGTTGATTGCACTCACCTCCTGCTGCCCCGACATTTATTAGTCTCATTTGCCTAGCAAGTACTGCCTTCATGTGTGTGCTCACACATGGATACGTGTTCCGTGGAGGGGAGCCCATCGTCCTCCCCTAGACCAAAGGAATGAGGCTCACATCACCAGAGCCAGCCTCAGGCAAGGAGCTGGGGGCACCAGTGGGTCTGTGAGGTGCTTGGAGGAACACTGAGGGACATTAAATACTGCAAAAAGCTGGGTGGCTTCCTGTAAAAATGATTCATGTGCAGGTGTGGAAGCAGAGCTCTGGCTGCTCTGGTAAGCCAGTGCTGGAAATAATGGCACACTGAGCTGTGCCTGCCATCACTCCTGATGACTCCTCATCATCTGCCCAGAGGTGCTGGATAGCTTCCCTGGGAATGCTGAGCAGCCCTGGAGCACCACTCAAGATTTGGGCAGAGACATCATGTTAAAACATTGAACATTTATATTTCCCTCTGAAGAAAAACCTGACTGAAGGCAAGACCTGACTGGTCTTATTCTGGTCCCTACTTACAAAATGGTCATGCAATACCTGTGATGAAACACTGCATAGATCTCTCAGACTTGTTTGACCCTATGAACCATCCTCCAAAAGAAATCACTTACCATTTGTAGAGAGGCAGTCCAGACTGCTCCTTTTCCTCACCCCAGTTGCCTGCACAGTGATTAACTGTTAAACCTGTCCCAATTCACAGTCCCAGAAATGACTGGGCCCTATTTTCATTGCGCTGTAGAGGCTATGAGGACTGAACATCACCCCTAAAGATCGGAGCAGCCACAGCTTTTCCTCCCTTGTCCTAGCAGCTGGTCAGATCTCAGCGCAGAATCCATGACAGAACTGCTGCAGGGATGCAGACAAGAAGAAGGTGGTCAGGCAAGATGTCAGCCTTTGAATGCTGCAAAAACTTTAGAGAACAAGTACTTTCAAAAAGAGTTCAAGTGTATTTCCTACAAGAGAGACAATGAAGAAGCCACGTTGTTCTCAGATCTCAAGTTCTTTGGAATTTCTTCGTCTTGCAGATAACACCAAGTTGGAGGGAAGAATTAAAGCAAAGGTGCCCATTCAGTCACATGTGCTGGAAGGAGACAAAAACCTCATGGAATTGAATGAGAGCAAGAACAAAATCCTGTCTTTGGGAAGTAAGGACTCACTGTGGTGGTGCAGGCTGGGCACTGACCATCTGTGGAGCAGCTTTGTGGAAAAGGTCTTGGGAGTCCCATTGGGTATCAAACTGGGCATAAAGCCAGCTAAGCTGAGTGTGCTGGCAGCAAAGACTGCCAGCCTCCTGCGCCCTATGAACAGAAACAAAGCCAGAAGATCCAATGAAGGAATCTTCTCCCTCCAACTGGTGTTTGGTGACCACAAATCAAATACTGCAGCCAGTTTGGAGCCTCCCGGTAGAAGTCACCAGTCAGCTGGAGCAAATTCAATGGAGGACCACTGAGATGGCTGGGCCTGGAGCACTTGACCTGTGAGGAGAGGATGGGGCACCTGGATTCGTTCAGCCTGGAAAAGGAACAGCTTTGGTGGCACCTAATAGAAGCCTCCAGGGCTCACCAAGAAGACAGAAGAAAGTTCTTTACAATGGTGCAAGGTGGGAGGATAAAAACATATATACTAAAGCAAGGACAAGTTGCAAAACCTTTCCACCATGTGGACAGATGAGCAAAATGCTCAGAGAGGTTGTGCAGACCCTTGGAGACTTTCAAGATCCAACTGGACTGAYTCCTGARMATCTTGGTCTGAYCCTGTGGCTGACYCTGCTGTGAGCWGGAGRGGTGGACCAGAGACCTCCTGAGGTCCCTTCAACCTGAACCATGACTGCTGGTTGTACAGCAGGGAGAGATGTGAGAGATGACGAGCTGTACAAATTGCTTTTCCAGCTGTAAAAATTGCTTTTCCCTACTTCAGAATATTCAGTTTAATACAATCTGGGACTGATTTTTAGGTGGTCCACTAAATAATTGAGCAGTGTGTCTCTCTCCCCAACAAAGAACCTAGCACCAAGCCCACAGTCAAGGTAGGTAGATGAGTTATAGAACTATAGCTGACTGTCTGTCCTGGTGAGGAAGATACACTRATGTTGAGGTAACTCTTTTTCTTGTGCTGCTCTAGTGGGTGGAGAACGGAGACTGCATTTCATTCCAACTGGGGAAGGCAATAGCTTGGTATCCTTTTCCTTCTGATATGCTGCTTTGAGGATGCTCGGACAACAAATTAGAAAATGGCTATAAAGCCAGATCGATGTGCTAAAGAGTCCCAGAGCAACTATTTGCTTTGTTAAATACTTCAGCAACATGGGGGGTTCTACCTACCTTGCTAACTTTTCTCAGCAACAGAATCTCCTAATGTTTCCAAGATCTGTGCCTTCAGACAGACACAGGGAATCCAGAGAATCACAAGTACAGGCCTCTGAAGAGCAGAGAAGCTGAACAATGCCAGGCTGGTGCCAGACAAGGTCCAGCTGTGGCTGCATCCCACAGCATCACCCTYGGTGCTGTCCTCCCTCACCTGCTCATGCATCAGCCTGCAATMACTTGTCAGTAGATCCTAACCTTTCCAAGGGGTTGATATGGAAAACTGGACCTTTGGGTCTGAAGCCATGAATCCACATGGGTAGGGCTGCTCACCCAAAGCACAAAACTAGACAGGGTCTTGTCATCTGAGTAACCGCAGGTGACTTCACGGCATGCTCAGAAAGGAGAACGTGTTCTGTTGCAGGGAATGGGGTTTGCAGGAGGGTAAAAAGGGGGACCCTCTATTCTGGTGGCAGTCAAAGGGAGCAGAGAGTGCTCAGCCGCCTGCCGGAATTGGCCCTGTGTTGGTTACACCCCCAGCTATTTGAGGTGAAACTTGGCCTCTCAAAGCTCTCTGCCTCTCTCCTGCGCCTTTGTATTCTCGAGAAGGTGAAGCGTAAGGGTATAAAAAGCTGCAAACAAGTTCCTACCTCTGGAGACCAGGCATTTASTCTAAGAAAGAAAGACCAATTGCTTCCCAGAGCATTGTCCACCCACATTAGAGAAAGGATTAAGCAGATACATTCAGCTATTCTAACAGATTTTCTTTAAACCTTGAATACGCCTCTCACACTTGGTAAGATAATCACATTAGTTTTGTCATTAAAAGATCCCTTTTATAGAAAGTACCTAAACCGCTTAAACCACCCAGAGAGGTCGCATACATTAGAAAACAACAAGACAAACGGAAGGGATTTGCTATTCCCGGTCTCAGTGTTTCRCTGCCCCTACTTTCTAAAGTGGGGGATGGAACCAAAAGATTTTTCAAATCACCAGCGGAGGGAAAAGTCCCTGAGGGCTGGGCAGCCCCCACCTGCCCCGTGGAGCCTTCGCTCCCCACTGGGGAAACACTCGGGTACAGCTCGGAGGATTTTGGAGAGAACATCGTTACATATGGAGATGCCCACAGGTTACACCCACAGGATCCCAACCAGGGACTGCAGCGAGGACAGAGCRGGTCCCCACCTCAGCAGGGCTCAGGCTAGCAATGCAATCAGCTGTCAGCAATCTCACTCTGCTGTAAAGCAATTTCTTCATTGGGCTTGTATTGCTGAAAGGATTCAGGGAAGGACACTGCCCTAAAGCATGTGGATCAAATAGTTTCAGATTTGCTGGTAAAGTAAGTTGGGCTGGGGGATAAAAAAAGAAAGGCTTATGTTCCTGCAGCTGGAGGCAGTGCTGTGAAATCAAGGAATTAAAATAATATAGGAGCAGAAGTACACTCAGACCAGGGGAAGCTCTGATGCCCAGCATCTTTAAATTATAAATTCTGGATATTTTTAAATAATAGAAGGGGAAAATTAAAAAGTTCTTAAGCATCATTAATTTACCACAGATATTTTCTGTTCATATATATTTTGCCACTGCTTCACTGCACATTTTCAGCTAACCTGCACAGCCAAAACAAACCATTTTAGGATTTTTAACAGGGAGAGTCTTAAAAAAAACAGATTTGCAGTCATCTTTGTAAGACCAAGGCTTTGGTTTTAAAACATAGAGGTGTTGGATTATAAAAGAAAAAAAAACCTCAGAACCYAGAGGCTACAGTAACACCCATTAAGATGCCAGTCACTGCATAACAATGTTCTGAATCAATAGGGGAGAGCAAAAAATGGGGGCTTGGAGTATACAATCCCCTGTATTCTTTCCTCCCATGTTTAATGGTTTCATAGAATCCTCCCAACTGCCAGAAAGGCACAATGATTCCACCATTAGTCCTGCAAGGAGCTGAACTATCCAAGTTTTTATGTGCAATCTTTAACATACATAAAGATCTTGAGGTCCCTCATGATTCCTTAGAGATGCGATTCACAACAGCCAAATACCCTTTATAAGAGCAGAGATAGAAAAAGAAATCCCTTTATTTAAAGCAAAATGACATTTTTCTGCAATATCCTTGGTGGTCAGACAGCATGGGAGACAGAACTTCTCACTTTTCCTGTGATTCAGAATCCATGCTCCAGGAGAGATTTTCATTTTTATACACTCCTTTGATTATGAAATATTTGATCATCTTCAAATTATCATCCTCAAAATTTAAAATTATCCTGCAAACAAAATGAGTTGCAGAACCTATTTAGTTCCTTCCCAAGACTTTTAGCTCTGCCCTATTAAATACTTAGTTAAAATCTGCCCTTGTCAGGTCACGGGACATTACAGATCTGTCCTCACAACCTTCCTCATTGTTGACATGTGGGAAGTGCATGTTTGCCTGGGAAAGCTTTCAAAAGAAAAATGGACTTTTCCCATTAGAAATAGCTTGATTGTATTTTATGTGGTCACCTACAGAGAACAACCAGCTCATACCCCTGCTCCTCACCACAGCTAAACCTCTGAAGTGAGAAACTACTAAAGGAGTGCAGAGACTCACCATYTGTCACCCTGACTGCAGTGTCTGAGGACTTCCATAACCAGTTTTCCTCCCCTTCCTCAAGAGTCAAATGCAAATAAGACAATGTCACTTGCAGAACTTGGAATCTCCCAAAGGATAAAAATTCATGCCCTGCAAAACAAAATTGAGTTCCAGAAACTCAAAATTTCAATGTTTGAATGCATTTTTATTGATGCAAAACTGCAGGTTCACCACTAAGATTCATGCTTTGTAGAAAATGCTAATTCTTTTTCTGTCTGCATTTTTCCCAGTAGTAGGAAACATACAGTTTTAAATTCCAGTAATTTCTGAAGCATGYCAAAGACTTACATAAGCCTGAGATTAAGTATGGCCCATCATTATATGCCTGGAAAGATAAATCTACCATTTGTTATGGCTCAGCTTGTTCTCACCTGTAGGAAACACACAGGAGAGCCAACATTTAGATGAGTTAGCCAAACCACAAGATAGTCCCTTGGTAGCAATCAGACATATGTACATCTGTGTGGATTTTAAGATGAAGTCTGAATATTTGAGATAAATAAGACCCAAARTTTTGACTACTCAGCTTGATGGGAAAAAAGTAAAAAGATCAATTAAAAAAAACATAAAAACAAGTCACGTAATTCATAAACTGGCCCAAACAGTAAGCACCTGATCCAAAGTGCACTTGAATGTGTCTCACAGACAGAAACTGAACAGAATAGTAAGATTATTAAACAAGAGCCCCAAAATAAAGGAAAACCACAAACAAAACCCCTCTGAAAAAAATTTTAAGTGTCATTTTACAAAACTTAAAAGTTGAAAAACTGCATGTTGTTTTAAGTGTTATTGAGGGCAACGTTTTCTGCTTATGAAGGAGTGAAAAGAGAAAGAGGAATGAAATTTTAAATTACTTATGCTGCTTGAAACTAAAAAGTGTTTTTCATACAACAAAGCAGCAGCTGTTTCCTGAGACAGTAAGTTCACTAGCARGGGAGAGAGAGGAGACACAAGCTGACTAATAATATACAGAGGCTGTTAATTTGGGCTGTTCACAGCCCAGTGCATGAATATCCCCATGTCCTTGTCCATAAAATATGGAAATGTTTATCCTAAAATTTGCACTTGGAGTAGCACCCTGAGCCATCAGCGGGCAATAGGAGCAATTAGACCAAGATCTTGATTACTCAAACCAATTCTGGTCCCCAAATTTATATTAACTCTTACAGGGTTTCATTCCTTGCCCTGCAATAAACCAGGACATTATCACACATCAATTAGCATGTAAGAAGAKGCAACAGTATTTCTAAAAACTTTGCTGTAACATAATTGATTAAAGAACAATAAATATTATTTGTTTAAAAAAAATCAAGTACATGTTATTATAAAGCTCATGAGTGAGAGTCTGGAGTATATTTACTGCAAAAACTGGAACTATTGGAAAAGAGAGTTTTCAGTCGACAGGTTTCAAGCAAATCCTACATAGCTCTTCCTTTAGCTCTGTAGATCTTGTCTGGCCTTGTTCTCTGCAGTTTAAGAAATTAACCTTGCYCAAAAGCATGAGAGGTTCAGACTGCAGAATCTGAACATGAATGCCATGTTTAACACTAGATGAGGAAAAAGCCTAYCTATTGGAAAGAAGATACACAGGAGTGTATCTTGAAAAGACAGAAATTCAGTGTTGGGTTTGCTTTGTTCCCAGAGGATGGGAGGAGACTGGAAACAGAAAAGGCCATGTGGGTTCTTAGGAAAATACTCAACCATCAGGCATAYCATCAAAGCTGAGAAAACTTTTCAACAGAGATGGAATTTTACAAGTCTGGGGACATGAAGACTTGCCTGAATCATTCTAAAATGGAGTTGTCCTTTACACTGCAAAGAATCCTTTCTGAAGAAGGGCTGCAGTGTGAATGAAGCCAAAGTTGGAAAACGAGGGGACTGCCCCAGCCATTTATTAATGTCAAATATGCTGTCTCATGAATCAGGGCAGTTTGTCTGGTTTGGAAGCCTTACAGAAAGCCCAGTGCACCTGGCTTGGTGAGCTCAGCATCAGGCTTTAGGCTGATCCAARGGGATAGCTGCATTCTGTGTTTTCAATAGTTTGTCCAGCAAACAATTTTTTTTTTTWAAAAAGGCTTTTATTGAAGAGCCATCAGCAAACAGATCATGCAGAATTTGAACAATACACAGAATGGGAGGGAGGGAAGAACTCACACAAGGCACAGCCCCAATTATTTGTCACTTCAYAAGATCTAGCCAGCACAAGTGTCACATTTGGTCTTCAAGAGAATAGCTACAAAAGCTTCCTGATTTTAAAAAGCTAATTGTTTGTGTGGGATACACACATRTACRCACAYAAAATAAGCCCAGTTTTCTTTAGCAACCATCAACACAGATAGTGATAGATATCTCAGATTAGGACATATAGCAAAAGAAGAAATAAAATCCTGATGCAGACTGTGCATGATCAGCCAGTTATCAGCAGAGTCTGGGCCCAGCCCTGACCATTCAGTACAGCATGGAATACAAAAATCCACTCATTATTAAGCTATAGGGAAACTAGGTAGAAAAAAGTAGTATTTCATTTCTTTTCCAGCACTGATTCCAAARGGTAAGGGCTGTTTAGTTGCCTTACAAACAGCACAGCCAGCTTTCCCAGGCCTTCCCTACTTCTCCACCAAATATCACAGTAAGATGTGATTTTTGTTCCCTCGTATCTCCACCAGCAGAGGATGTTGAAAGTTCAATCACTCTGAAGGCAGCAGGATTTTCACAATCAACAGCCCTGCCATGTAACTCACTGCTGGATATACCAGCAGTTGGAATAATCACTCAGCGCAGCAAGGAGAAGGGTAACAATCCTAGAACAGGAACCCATTACTATGTGGTTAAGTACAGCATTTGAGAAGAGCAGAAGAGGAAAGCAAACCAGAGCAGGCAGCTCAATCCATGCAYTTTGACTGGAGTTTATGATCAGAGAATGCTCTCCATCTATCTGCTGCCTGCTTCTCTAGCAGACACAAGCCATGGCAACCACTGCAATGCAGGTGAGGAAGCAGGAGGGAAATGCTCCAATGACCGTATCAAAAGGCCTGGCCCTGCTCCCAGCAAAGCCAAGAGAAGTGTAATGGTCACAGTTGTTGCAGTACCACTTCAGTGGCTGTGCCTGGCTGTTTCAATCCATTGTTTCATGAGGCAGATCTCCATGGCTCGAGCCTGCTGTACAGACTTGGGGTCCAAAGGGTTMCGGCTGCGTAGGTCCAGGTGATGGGCTCCATCTGGGATCACAACTGCCACSAGGGAATTGGTGATGTTCTGGGTCACCCCACCTGCAGACCATGGATCCAGGCCACCGTTGCTRCAAGGAAAGAGTATTTCATTAGGGTACATGCAGGGTGCACAGCAGTCAGCAGTGAGGCTGCAGGTCACATCAACATTTCTACTGGTTTTGCATATGCAGCAACAGAAACAGACCYCTGCCCTGTCTCAATGTCTTGTGCCCACCCCTCTGCTAAGAGGCACCTTCTTGMCAGAGGTATGGAGCTATCAGCAGCTTAAGCAAGGCAACACTTCTCATTAATCATCTGCTAATTCAGATAATAACCTARAACAGTGCAAAAGCCTCTGAAGAGAAATCTGCTGCCACCTGTAATTGTCATAGAATTTTCAGGTTTCCCTCTACCAAAACATGTCCAAATCCCCAAATCAAAGCACTTCACTTTTCTTCTTCGTAGTCTGCTATAAACAAATCACTCACTGATTTGGAGCAGAATTTTCAGAAAGTTCTACCTTTTGCTATCTCATCTGAATGCCAACTTGGTTTTGCAAAGAAATGCTCAGAGGGTTTGTTAGTCTGCTGACTTTAAGAGCAACCATATGAAAACGAAGATTTTATCTCTTAAAAAACTGTCTAAAATTATTCATCCTCTGTGACAGAACAATTTAATGCTATTTACTCCCCTTCCTCCCTCACCCCAAATCAAYGAAAAGAATTTCTTGCACTATATATATGGCTCCAAATAAGAGTCCATGGAGGAAGCCAATGGCTCAGCTGGGGAGAGAGCTTTCCATCTCTCATTTCTAGCTTTGGACTTGACCCAATAACCCCTCCTACAYGCTATTTTCCTGTACTGCAATGCTCTACCCACACACAGCCCATCTTTCTGCACAAAGAAAACAACATCCATGTACTCRTGGAATTACACTAACTCAGATCTGTTCCTCATTTAAAACACTGGACCTGCCCACAAAAGGRAATGTCAGAGATGGGCTATGGTATGGGAAGGTAAATTTCTAGAAGGATCTAAGATGTTAAAACACACTTGGACATTGGGAGATATGCAACTAGAAAAATACCACAATGGTAGCGCCAGAAAATAACAGAAAAATAACAAATTAAAAAAGAGCTTTTTTAGAAATAACCAAGAGTAAAAWACCTGATGGGGTCTGAAGTAATATTTAACTTGTTTCACCACTGACAGAAAAAAACCAACGAAGTATCTTGAGTCTCTGTAGTTCTTTACTTTCAGTGATTCTAAATATTACTTAGGACAAGAGAAACATTTTGTATCCACAAAAAAAAGCATAGAAAGCTGCCCAATAAGCCAAAAGCATTGGATTTAAAAGGTCACCTGAATCAGCAGAGCACCTTGGCAACGGGGGGATGAGTTGCTGAGAGACCCATGATGCACATGAACTTGGATCTTTTGGTCCTAGTCATGTGGAAACTAAGCAAGCCACAGGCTTTTCYGTGAGCTTCTGGCTGTGTCCTCTGTGTCTCCTGCCAAAGGATGGCACCAGGGACACTGACGCAGTTTGGGAAGTGAAACTTGCTGAAGGGAGGGGGGATGGGGGACTAACCACAAAATCATAAATCTTAACAGTTTTTGCAGATTAAGAAGACTCCAATTGGAATGAGTTATTTATGTGTTGAAACTAAGCATGCATGTAAGTACCCCGTTGCCCATCTCACAGGACAGGAATTTCCCAGTATAAACCAAAGAAGCAAAGGAAGAGAAAGAACAAAAGTCAGCCATTTCTTTCTAGCAGTGGCCAGGCAAGCAGGACTTCAGAAACAAACTAATGCAAAAATCAGCATGCTAGTCCAGTTTTCAATTCATATACTCCCTTAACATCATACATAGGGTTCTGCCTATCCCACAGCACACATTTCTCTTTCCTATATTCTCTTCAGTCTCCTCAGCCTTGCCAGCAAGTTTTACACAATCTCACCAGCACTGTCTGTGCATCCTTTTGTAACATGACCACTCTCCACCATAGTCATGTTTCCTGTTAGTAACATTTTTCTCTCACCTTTTGCTCTTCAGCCACGCATTGTTGTGCCTTCTCTGCCACCATTCCCTTTTTAGTGTGCTCACAATTCTCCCKTCTGCACAGAGCACCAGAATCTCTTAAAACAGAGCCTTCACTTTCTGCCTCTCCCCTGCCAGTGCAGAACTGGATACGCAGGTGCCCTGACTTTGAAGCCTACAACCCAGTTAWGATTCACTGAGATTGAAAAATATCCATTTTTAGACTGTGCACACCAAATTTCACACTGTCTGATATAATCTGGGCTGATTTTGACTACCATAGCACASTGATGATGAGATGCTACAATTGCAATGAGCTTTGTGCCACCACATGCATGAACAGTGTTAAAATGTCACTTCCCACCACTGTGCCGCACTTCCACACCAAGTGCACAGCATGTTCCAGCAAAAGGAGTGAAAACTGATGGAAGTGAAAGGGGAAACAGTGCTCTGAAATCCCCAATTTCCTCAAACTTGTTTAAATAAAGATGTGCTGCCYAGGACAGACAAGTACCACCTGCTCACAGCCTAAGGAACAACTCACACACTGCATAACTCCAGGAAGGTACCAGAGGGGCAATGGAATTCCCTGCATTATTACCACTCAGTACAAACAACACAGTGAGACTGTGCAGATGTACTGCTCACTAAGGGAGAAGCAGCAGCACCAGTTTAAGCATCCTGGCCAAATCCCACTGTGTCTGGATAAATCCACCCTACAGTGGTTCTCTCTAAATGGAATACTTTTTCCTTCCTGCACTACACTGTTGTGCAAGTTGCCTGTCACTTGAAGCATAGTCCTTTTCACCCCACAGGGAGCCACATCCCCTGGTAAACAYTGGGATGTTTTTTGTAAAGCACACTACAGTGTTTGAGGATAAAAGGCTCTTATATAAAATGTACAGTGTTGACAATGTATTTGTTTGAAGAGAAACATCCCAGCTTGAGATCCAAAAGCTTTGTGTGTACAGCACYACTTTAACATTCATTTGGTTGCTTTCAGGCTTTTCTCACTTCCACCTCCTTCAGCTGGCATAAATTCTTAAACACTTATTTAGATTTGTTTGCTTGTCTATCGCTTACAAAGCAGATTTCTACTGTACAGAGCTGTGCAGCCTTGGAAATAAGCAATACTCTGCAGAAACTAAGTTAAACCAACAATTTTTTTTTTATTAAAAAGTTTTCCAAAAAAGAGCGGAATTTCTCACCCCAGAGTAGATGTCCTGCTGGGATAGAAACAGCAAGAGGCAAACAAGAGGAAAGCAACAGACCGACACTAAAAGCTGCAATCCAGAAAATAATCACCAATTCAAGTAAGAACTTTCTACTTTTAAAATGCACACCTATCTACCACATCCAAAAGACTGATTCAAGCTTGGTTTGTAGAAGTCGCAGGGTTTTTATGAAAAGTCCTTGCAMAATTTTAACCAGAGCACAGAAGAATATCTATCCAGGAACTTCCCACAGTGGGCAATGGGTACAGCAATTCAGGACTCCTGAGAATTCAATGCGGGCATGGAACACCTCCCTCCCACAAAAGAACCTGATAGACACACAGCACTCACCTGGATCATCTCACAGCAGAACAACAACTACATGAGCCTCTCTTTAAAGACAGTTTAATCTCAAAAATCAGGAAAGTGAAGGCTGAATAGAAAGCAAGCAGCATGCACTAGTTTTTTGTGCTATACTGTAACATTTCTTTCACTTCTTGTCCACACACAAAGGCAATTCAGACAAACTTTATTTGTATTACCAGTATTCCTTACYAAAATAGAAACATCTTTGTATTTTGGACCTTACACAAGTTTGTTGAAACTTGCCTAAATGCCACTAAAAGAAAAGGGCTGTTGGCAGCAATAGAAAAACTCCCAAAGTTACTTCCCTCTCTTTTCTGTATCAAAGGGAAAAAGGAATGTAGTGCCAGTCCTTTCACAAGACTATCCCTCAGAGCAATTTTGGTGACCAAGATTCTGTGTTGTAACTAGAGCTCATGTAGTGTTTCCTTTTATGTGTAAGCGACAGTGCTTTGGGTTCAAAAAACTAGGAATTTACCAACATGGAAAACCTGGATTTTGGGCACAAGACAAGAAGGAATCCACATGGAAAAGAGATGATGTTTGGCAGAATCCCAGCCCAGATTCTTTTTTTTTTGGTGGAATCCCAGCTCAGATTCTTCTTTTAGAATCACAGGCACCAAACAACAGAACAGTTGGCTTCTTTGGCCACTGCAGACTGACCATTTTACTCTCRAGAATAACACAAAGCATGCCCATCATTTATTCAGCTGGAATGATGGAGACAGATCCCTTTGGTACTTGGGGCAGATTCTCTGTACTGACAACCCAATCTGCTGGAAGACTCYACATCACAGCTGAAACAAGACTCACCTAAAGATGATGTTGCTGTGTGAATTGATGTTTTTTCCTCCATACATAGAAAGAATCCAAGAGAKGCGAGGCCTCACTCCCCACATCCTKTGACACTCTTCTGAAAGTGCATCAAAGTCCCATTTCTGAGGCTCAAACATGTCATGTACACCATCTGTGCACAGGGGCATCACCATCTCAGTGCAAGTCTGAAAGAAAGGGCAGGTCAACAAGAAGTATTCCCAGGAGAACATCCAATAGCTGTTACTGCASTATTTAAAAAAATGAAGTTCAAGCAGCATTGATCAGTAATTACTACCAAACCATTATAATCATTTAGCTAGGAAAAGATCTTTTAACATCAAGTCCAATCATAAACCTAAAACTGCCAAGTCCACCACTAAACYGTGTATGAAGTGAATAGTGCTTTTAAAAACTCCAAGGATGGGGACTCCACTATTTCCCTTAGCAGCCTGATTAGTGCTTGATATTTTTCCTAATATTCAATCTGAACCTTCCCTGGTACAGCTTGAGGCCATTTCTTCTCATTCTATTGCTTGTTACTTAAGAAAGCTTGTTACGACAGAAACCCACCTCCCTACAGTCTCCTTTCAGGGAGCTATAGAGAGCATTAAGGTCTTTCCTCAGCCTCCTCTTTTTCCCCAGACTAAACACCCCCAGCTCCCTCAGCTGCTCCTCATCAGACTGGTGCTCCAGACCCTTCCCCAGCTCCATTGCCCTTCTCTGGACTCTCTCCAGCCCCTCAATGTCCTTCTTGCAGCAAGGGGCCCATAACTGAATGCAGGATTTGAGGTGTGGCCTCACCAGTGCTGAGTTCATGGGCACAGTTACTGTCCTGGTCCTGCTGGCCACACCATTGCTGATCCAGGCCAAGTGACATTAGCCTTCCTGGCCACCTGAGCACACACTGGATCATGTTCAGCTGCTGTCAACAAGCACCTCCAGGTCCTTTTTCACTGGGCAGCTTTCCAGTTACTCTGTCCTCAGCTTGTAGCACTTTCTGGGTTGTTGTGACCCCCGTGTAGGACCTGCCACTTAGCCTTGTTAAACCTCATACAGCTGACTGCTGTAAATAATTTACTATTGACTGCTGTATATAATTTTCCACTCTATATGAAGAGCTGAAATTCAAACATTAGCTAGATTATGAAGACACAACCTTGTCTTTTCTACCCTGCCTTCCCCACTACAATCATACTTGGCTGGTGACTACATCTGTCATTAGTACATCAATACATCTGGCACAATATATTGACAGCTAAATGTCAATTCTCATCAGCTCTAGCTCAAAAAACCCTCACTGACTTGCAATTTRTAAAGATTAGTGTGAATATACCTGGTAGTACCAACCCATTTCACCCAGGCTCTTTGTTGCAGTCTGTGACACGTCTAAGCATGAGGCTTCTCCTGTATAATTGTAATATAAATTCACTGCCCGGAAAACATTCTGCAGCAACGCTTTGTCAGAGAGACTGGGATCCTTCAAGAACTTGCAGACTTCCTGCAATGAGGAGAAAAGTCTAAATCTATAGGAATTAAATATTAATACATGATACCTGGTAGGATACTACTTTCTTTTCCAAGTACAGTCAGATCACTTCCAGAAAGTGTCTRTGAAATTATACATCCTGATTATCACAAAAAGCAGTATTACATGTGTTTGGTGCATGCTACTATGAAACCTGAAACTTTATATTTCTTGATTTTTTTTCAGAAAAATAATGATAGGACCACCTTAATGTTTCCTTCACTGAATTTTTCAATCAATTTCCCATACTTTAAAATAGATTGTAATTAACAAATAGTATTTATTTCCTCTGTAATTAAAAACAACACATAGAGATATATAACAGAGAAGCTCCAGGTATAGGAGCCYCAATATAGACGGAGGGTCCTTGCAGTTTGACATAGGCAGCTCACCACAGAGAACAGATTAAACAACATACATATACATATATGTGTGTATTTATACATATATATATATATATATATTCAGCTACTCATTTGCAGACAACCACATAGGACAGATGAATGTTCCTCTCTCCTCCATCAGGCAGCTCTACACAAAAGAAAGGTTTTGTTTTATAATTAACTACTGCCTAAAATACTTAAATCTTATTTGCCTCCCCTACCTTACACAGTAACCAAAACTCCTGCAGGGAAATTCAGACCGAGTTTTAAAAAATAAAAATACTTAAAGGAAATAAGAAGAAAACTTGGAGAGGGCACTGTGGATAAACAGAACTGCAAAAGCAAAAGCTTGCAAAGGTAAAAAGAGGTTCTGCTTTGACAAGAGACCCTTCAAGGAATACATATATGAAGTTCCAGATTTTCTCTCTCACTAGTTTTCCCACATCAAAAGGGACTTAGGCTCAAAACCTTTTCTTCAGTTGCAAGCTCTGTCAGCTAAGCATCACATCAGAAACTCTAACTTTATGTACTGTTTGTGCAGCATTTCTGCTACTCAGGAACAGCTCTGCAGGACATCCCTGGCACTTTTCTTCTCCTGGGCACTTGATATAACCTATATTAGACCTACAAGTGGCAGTTAGGCAACAAACCAGCTCATGCACTAGCTATTTTCTTGATCATGTTCTCTCAGTAACACTGGCTCTASAGAATCAAGAAAATAATGAAAAGGTGCAAGCTAGGAGAGAAGGAGAGAATTAGTTAAACYGAATGATAAATTCTACAAGATATTGTAGATATACCTGTATAGGCCAAGCTGGCAGAGGCTGCAAGAAGTCAGCTTTATAAGGATAATCTACCATAGCCAAGTTTACCCATGTTTCACTCAGCCAATTTTTCAATACAGCAGCATCCTGAAGATTTTTYAAAGGGCTGCACAGATGAAATGTGTTGGAAAGCCACTGCAAACCTGCATCTTTAACAAAAAAAAAAATGGATAAAATAATATTTAGTGTATTGTACCATTAACACATAGGTCAGTTGTGCTGCTACTAAAAGATATTTTCACTTAGCYTAACTAATTAAGTGAAACTATTCCACATACAAACAAGCACAGCATATCAAATTAGTCAGCACTTCACTGCAAACTCTTTTCAGATAGTTGTATAATCACAGAATCACTTAGGTTGGAAAAGACCTTTGAGTCTGAGTCTCCACCACTTAGTTCATAATGATTACAGTAATTTTCTTCTCCTGAATGCCTCAGCTGGCAAAGTACTTTTTTTTTTTATAATAATGATTATCTTGCCTGTTTTGTCAGAAGGAATATAAGCCTTGAGGTTCTGAAGCCTGTTCTTATCTAACCTTAGGGATGTTTGGACCTGATTCTGCATCCCACCAAGTCCTGAAAGAAGTTTGTGATACAACCAAACAGGCCTTTAAAAGTAGTGCTAGTTCATTTGGCAGTTTTTAGAACCAGGAGCAGAGTTTCAAAAAACCCAATACATAACACAGATGAAAGTCATAACACAATACTGATCATTACCATTCTTTCAAAAAGCACTGGTGAGGTCTTACCTGTTGAAGAAAGGTGGTTAATAGCATTCCAGGAATTCCGGATGCTTTCTGAGCAGCCTGTGCCACTCTTTTTGAAATCATTGGTCACAATGCTGAAAAATGTGCCACATGGAACCAAGTCATTAAACTGCCAGATTGGGGCGGAGGCTGCCAGAGCTCTGCAAAGGGACATAGAAAGGTCCTGAACTCCTGCAAAGTGAATTTCCATGCTGTGGTCAATGCCCTCCCCACAGCCACTGTCTAAGCAGCATTTAGAATTCAGCTTGGACAATGCACTCTAGGTGAACTAACCATAATGTTGCAAAATTATTCCACAAGTCTGCATGCTGTGGAATACAACAATATCAACAAATACAAGTAGAAATTCAGATTTGATTAGTTTATTGTTTTTCATTCTTATCTATCAATTAGGTCTTTCTCACTAACCATTGTGTGAACTCAAATGAACTGAGCCCCGATCCATAAAAATAGATTCTTTAGCTTGCTTCCCATAGGGTAACTAAGGTATTGAAGAGATAAAAGACCTGTCTAAAGTCATCAGGAATTCTGGAGATCCTTGAAAAAATTAGGTGCCAAATCAGTGTTCACATGCGGTTTTCACAAATCTAACATATAAGTCTGACAAAATACACCATCCAGTACCTGCTGACCTACAGCTGCCTTTTTTAGGTGCCTCTTCCCAAATTCAAAGTAACTTGATTCCTTCTYCCAGTACTAAAAAATTCAAGCCAGCTTGAACTATTATACTTCTCCCAGAGCTGTAATACTTACAGAACCAAAGTGACAAATGCCTGCTGTGTTTAAGCAGGATGAGCACACTCACCCAACCACCACATGGGGATACTTCATCCTAAACCAGGCTGCAAGCATTCCTCCATAAGATCCTCCTATAGCTATGACTGGACTGTGCCTGGCTCCTGCAATGCTCGACTTTAAGTACTCAACAAGTACRGCAAAGTCTGCCAGAGCTTGTTCTGATGTCAGGTAATTTAGATGCTTGGAATCCTGAGAGAAAGAAGGCAGGTTATAGACAGCATGAGTGACTTCCAGCAGCAGTTTTTCCATTCCCCACAGCAGTTACAGTGAAAATCAGGTCTACAGCTAAAATCACAGGACTAAATCTGTGCCTGAGAACAAATAAAGTATTCCTTKCAGGTGTCCCATGATGCACTAAGAAAAAATCTCTAGGCTTTTTTTTTACCCTAGAATTGACAGTTACAAAATAGTTATATCTTACTCAAGTTAACACTAATTGCCCTGGCAAGAATCAAAATATGCATAAGTATGTTTGAATGGAATGCATTTATTAGGAAGACAAAATATGACACTTACACTGAAAGACTCATTCCCAAAGGGCAAAGATTCTCCATAATATCTATGTTCAGCAAATACCAACATAGCCTCAAGTTCTTCAGCCACATCCCACATAAAACCCTGGTTGAAGAAAAACAGACATTGAAAAAAATTGATTCAACTTCTTCAAAAGTCTCTAGTTTCAGTCTAGTGTAATCCAATTCTTTGATTAGAAAGATATCACTATCAAAATGCCACTAGAAAGACAGAGAGCAATTTGGTTTTAAAGTATTACTGAAGTAAGAAAACACAAAAACCAGATATCAACACAGAGAAGGTGATACATACAAAGACAGTATGTATATTTTAATGCTGCAGTATCCTTGTTTTGTGACTTCACACAGGCAATTCTATACAGAACTCCTATAGCATGAGCTTAATCCACAGGAAATAAAACAGRATATAGGAGAAAGGTATGCATTTGAGTTGGGAGCACACTACAGAAAACACAAAACTTGTTTGGCAATAAGCAATAATCTAGACCATTGCAATACAGTTATTTTCAAGTAATAAATAAGTACAATTTACTATTACTTGTTGATAACGGTTACTACCAGCTATGGAAATAGGCAGACAGAGATCATCTATTGACAGCCCAAAGCATGTAAGCAGCCCTTGGTGGCTTTGAGCTCAGCACATRCCACCTCCTGTCATGTCGATGGACTTTGTMKTRAAATGGCTGAAAAATACCCACACASTCCATTCTGCATTTGTATCAGTCAGGGAAGCAAAGACTTTCACAGGTATTAGAGAGAACAAGAATTATCTAGCTTTGATTTCCAGCTGCCTTCATATTTTTTTAACAGAGAAAAAATAATCCAAACATGAAAACCTCCAATTTACTTGAGGAATCTAATGTACTAGGGTAAGTTTAATTTGGTCCAAAATCCTAAACTCTTAGCTCAAAGCATTTATGGTGTTTCCCACATAAATTTTCTTCACTGCTCCAGGAATTTAATACAAGTATATCCCTTTGGTGTGTTTGGACTTCAAATAGGACCCTGAACCCCCTTAAACATTTTTCTGCGCTTTTGTTCAGCTTCCTCTTTTTCTTGTAACAATAATGACAAACATATCTTTCAATGACCTTCTGAGAGTGTTTTCTTGTTCCTCCCCATTTTTTCAGCATGCCATTAGTGGAAGGTAGGACTGTAATTCAGGAACCTGTTTCCCACCTACCGTATTGTTGCAGAACCACGTGATGTCTCCTTCATTGCCTGTGTAAAATAGTATTGGTCCATTGTCCTTCTTCCAGTACTGATCTGCAACCAGATACCGCTGCTTGAATGTACGATCTTCATCAAATCCAAAGTGATCAATCTGTAAGAACAAGGAACAGCAATATGTTCAGAAAGCCAGAAATGAGAGTGCTGATAGACACTTTGCAGAGAAAAAAAAAGAAATTAAATTAATTTATATTCCTAATACATTCCTTTTTATTCCTGCTTTGTGAAAAAAGGCACCAAAATTACAGGTGTATATACTGAAGGAGAAATGCTATTTTCATCCATTAAGAAAAAAAAAAAGTCCTTTTTGTAGTATCATACTTAACATCAGACATTCTAAATACATTTAGGAAGTCAAACAAATCTGCTGGSAGGTCACAAAGTATCTCATGCAATAAAACTGTATCAACAAGTAAAAAGAGTCATCCCAAGATGTTTTGAGCCTTGTTATTAAAAAAAACCAAAAAAAAACAACAAACCCACAAAACTAAAAAAACCCCCACAAAACTAAGTAAAAAAACCACAAAACTAAAACCAACAAAAATCCCACCTCTTGTTTCTCTCGTCCTTTTGGCATAAGAATTAAATTTAAACAGATTCTTGTGGGTTTTGATTACTTTCCACTGCCTTACAAATATTGCCGGACTATACATCATATCCCTTAATCCAAACCCCACAGTGTTAGATTTATTCCCTCAATAGAAATTCAATTCCTAAGGTCATTTTCTTACAGCTTTTACTCACACTGYTTTGTATTCACTATCCACCTTGACTCTTTTCCTAGCATTCATCCACACTGGAAAGCTCATCCCTTGTTTTACMAGTAACTCCATAAAGTTATTCTGGAATAACCATGGAGGTTTTTACTATGAAATATAAAAAATTCAAACCAAACCACAGAATTACTCCAGAAGATCTATACTACTTAATTACCATGTCTTCATAGTTCTTCACTATTTTATTCATCAGCTGAAGATGACCTGTAGCTTCCCTGTTTTGACTTTCATCAGCACATCAATTCACCTTTTCCTTTCATWGTTCCTGCCGGTGGTAACAGCCTGACATCTGCTGGCTTGAGGATCTCTGCTCACCCGTCCATCTGCCTTTACACACAAAACCTTGCCAAACCTCTCAGATGCTACAGGAACCAACTTTGACATTGAATATTTTGGGAACACTGCTAAATTAATGCTGAAAAGCAGCAGATCACACACAAATTCATGCACTTGTTGTTATCACAGTAACAAAACTGCCAGATGGATTCCTTTAAGCAACTCAGAAAAGCCTAACTCTTGATCTGCAGGATCCAGCTCCATGTACTTATATTTGCTTTGGGTCAAAGAGAGCACAGGGACTTATTTCAGATATATATAATCTGCTGCAAAATGTCTTTCCTGAAGTCTCTCAAAGGTTATTCACTCTTGGACTCAAGTGGGAGGATGTGTGTGCTGCAATTCATTGCTACAACAGCGGTAGCAGGAGGAGCAGAGAGCAAGGCGCAGACAGAGACAAGGTCTTTGCCTTTAATCAGGARCTTCAGTGACTTCTTCCAGATCCAAATAAAACTAATTTATGTACTACTTCAGTTTTCCGCAGGGAGGCCATTTACTGCGTAGTCATAAGTACATGGCCATGTTATGTACATATTTAAGGGCTCTTTCACTGAACTCAAGTACTRACAAACACATGTTGGGCTTGTTTTACACTGAACTCACCTGTGCCTTCTTGATTTGCACAGTTATCATTACTTTTAGTTTCACCTATTACGAGTAGTTAGATGCAGAAAGGCAGAACAAGGTTAGCAACTGAAAAAGTCTTCAGTCATAAGACCTTGAGAAAATGAAAGARAAGGATCAGCTAAGGCACATCAAAAAAATCACCATTTTTACAATCAAATAGTTCAATAAATTACAACACTATTAGAAAGTGCAACCAATCCATCTTTCATTCCAGGTCTATTTGTAAAGGAGAGAAGTACCTTTTTCCATCTAAAATTTCTAGTTAATCTGCTGATAGGAAATCCTGAGATAGGARAAACAGGCCCATGTGTCCTGTTTGCCCTGTATGGAATCATCTAAAACCAAACGTTTAGTTTTAAAACCTAATTCCACATCTTTCCTACCTGAAGCCAGAGCTCCAACTAGAAGACTACACCTATTCAACTTTTTTAACTA